GGGGAGTAATTGGACAGCACTGAAGGTTTCGGAGCATCCCGGGAGGGGATTTTGGGGGACACAAAGGGGTGATTTTTGGGGTCCCGTGTCCCCCCAGCACTGGCCCTGGCGATGGTGCGGGACGGATCCAGCGGGGGGGTCATCAGGCTGGCGGCCATCACTGAGGACGGGGTGGAACGGACGGTCCTGGCCGGCTCYGACCTGCCCTGGGGTGATGGAGGCCCCCCCGTCTGAAGGAAAAACCCCTCAGGACCCCCCAAATTTGGTGGGGAAAACAATAAACGGCTCCACTGGATGTTCTGGGGGGGGGTCTGGCTTTGGAGTCCCCTCTCCTGTCACCCCTGGTGGGGACATGGCCACACCCACAGTGTGACAGACTGGTTGTGACACAGATAAAGCACTCTCGGTGTCTGTCGGTTTTGCTTTAATTACATGACCACGACCCACGAGTCATTAACAAAGCGCAGGGTGGAGGGGGTGGGGGAAGGGGGGAGGGGATTTGGGGGGGCTCCTGCCCCACACTGGAACCTGGTATTGGTTGGTAACAAAACCCCAAAGAGAGAGGGGCACGATGGGGACACGGGGAGGACACCCTACACTCTATAGGGCTGCCCCATAGGGACAAGGCATCCCCTGTCACCCCCATGGGAGGGATCCAGAACCCCTCTTGGGCTCAGGGCCCTTCTCCATAGGGATCCCTGCACCCCAAAGAGCAAGTCCTGCACCCCTAAAGGGTCTGAGAACCCCTTTTGGGCTCAGGGCCCCTCTCCATCGGGCTCCAGGGATCCCTGCACCCCAAAGAGCAGGTCCTGCACCCCTAAAGAGTCTGAGAACCCCTTTTGGGCTCGGGGCCCCTCTCCATAGGGCTCCAGGGATCCCTGCACCCCTAAAGGGTCTGAGAACCCCTTTGGGGCTCGGGGCCCCTCTCCATAGGGATCCCTGCACCCCAAAGAGCAGATCCTGCACCCCGAACCCCTTTTGGGCTCGGGGCCCCTCTCTATCGGGCTCCAGGGATCCCTGCACCCCAAAGAGCAGGTCCTGCACCCCGAAAGGGTCTGAGAACCCCTTTTGGGCTCGGGGCCCCTCTCCATCGGGCTCCAGAGATCCCTGCACCCCAAAGAGCAGATCCTGCACCCCTAAAGGGTCTGAGAACCCCTTTTGGACTCAGGGCCCCTCTCCATAGGGCTCCAGGGATCCCTGCACCCCAAAGAGCAGGTCCTGCACCCCTAAAGGGTCTGAGAACCCCTTTTGGGCTCAGGGCCCCTCTCCATAGGGATCCCTGCA